ATTAGTTTTGGGTCTACTCTGGCTGAGGTCTCGATCGCGTGTTCATTTTCACGCGGTGACACATGTTAGTTGACATCATTTTTCAAGTACATTCAAAATTCCAAAGATTTTCGAAAAAATTTATTTCTGGAAAGTGATAACAAGCCACGCGGTACATACACAAAGAGACAGAATTGCCACTCCACGAATAAAAATATCGCTAGATAATAGAAGGACTACGTTTTAGGTAGTTATTGGGAGAGAGGAGGGGGTTTGTTCGTGTAGGAGAGTAAACTAAAATCACCTTTTCCATGTATAAGTAAATATTAATTAATTTCTAATTATTGTCGATGACAGTTGCCCGTTTGTAACACGCCTGCACGCGATTATTGTAGTAACTCGAATCTTCAGATATGTTACTGTTTTCTGAAAAATGCAGCATGCAACATCTCATCGAGAAATTCCCTTTCGTTTGTATACTCGAAGACTTAATTTTAATGTCATAGGTAATAAGTAATTACGTATAAGTAAATAAATACAAGAGTATTTATTGCTTGTCCCATAGCTTCAGCGATTATTATTACTTTTATTACTCCGTAATCGCCTGACGCATTCAGGATAATTTATTTATTTATTTATTAATCTTTTTTCTTCGAGATGACCTATTTGCAGTACGGAAAAGAGAAATTCGCTCGCTCGTGCTTAATCGCTTCTTGGTAGGTCTTCTAAGTCTATTTGTAAGTCTTTCAATCGAGTACCGGCTTATTTCGATATGCATCGATTTCGAGGCTGCGTCCAGTCGGGGATTGATAATTCAGGGTGATGGGACGTCTCGATTAAACCTCATCGAGCGATTCAACGTGTTCCTTTCCTTTGAGGAAGGCATAGCATATGTTTCTTCGTACCGGTAATGTTAATCCGGAACGTGGATCTCGAAGCTCTAAGATATATTTAATCGGTTGGTACTCGGTTGGTACTCGGTTGGGTGCGGATCATTTAACGAGAGTTTAGTTGAAACACGAGTTTATTCTTTCCTCGCTAGTTCACTAGTGTTGTCTCGACTTCGGTATTTATTTCGGTTTTATAATATTCGCTTCCTTAATATTTTTCATCGAATTTAGTTTCTTTGGTGTATTTCTAGTATTTTTTCTTTTTCTCTTTTTTCATTTTTTCTTTTCTTTTCTTAATCTCTTTTTTGTTTTATTGCAGATTAGCTATAACTAAGCGACGACGACACCACCTGTTCA